AATTGCAATAATAAATAAAATAAATGTCTATTAAGAAGAAGTTGAATAGTCTAGGGGGTTAAACTTATCTTAAATGCTTATTAAAAAGTTGAATAATTTGGGAGGTTAAACTTAGTTGGATGCAAAATTACCAAATGATCTCATCTATTATGAAATATACAATTTGCTTGTAAGGGTATAATAGTCTTTGACTTAATTAGTACTTTAAAAAACAAAAAAAAAAAGAGAAAAAAGATAAATAAATTTCCAGCTTTTAGAAGATGTCACATCATACATAATGGTTTCTTCTTTAATATATATATAGATTGACGAGAATTAGAGAAATTGAAAGAATTAAAGTTTTATATACGAAATAATATCACATGAATTTAAATAAAAATTGTTGTTTTTCATCTGTTAATTTTAAATAAGAATTATTGTTTTACCTATGAACTTTGGTAAAAAAAATTGAACAAAAAAAATAACACTATAAACTTTAAACAAATATCATATAATCACTGGACGAACGGATTTTATAGGTTTGTAAGTCAAATTCATTATCATTTTATGATACAAAACAATACAAATCAAAAATTCCTAAATCGCATTTAAACAAACAACAAAAAACAAATGCAAATAAAAAATCTAAATCGATATAAAACAAAGCTTCAAACAAAATAAATCGTCTAGCCGCTGTAATAGTGTCGGGGGGTTTTCCTCGTTGTAGGCGGCAACAGAAAGTCCGACCGCTACGTATGGACCAGTTGTAACTAAATTACATGTTTATGTATTTTGAAGATTTTCGCTGCGAAAGGGTCTAAAGTTTTAATTTTATCCGTCATTTTAGTATTTTTAGAGAATTTGTCTTATTATATCACATAACATTTCTCATGGTAAAACAAAGGTGTTGCAATAACTTCTCGGTATTCATGCATCAGTATGATATTCAATTATTCATCATCAATATACATTTTCACTATAATATTTATCATGAATATTTTTATATGTTCACGTGCATACAACAACTTTTAGGTATGCATACATCAGTTTGATATTTATCATGAATATACATATTATGCATCAGGAATATTTATGTATGATTACGTGTATACAACAAATCTCTAATATTCATATTGGTTTGGTATTTATCATAAATATTACTTTTCAACGTAATATATATTGTTCATATACATAGTATTCATCATTAAATATACTACAGTTTCAACTCTACATACTCTAGTTTTTTTTTTCTTTTCATTAGGTTCTCAATTAATCTCGATCAGTTCCCGATTCGCCTCGATAGGTTCCCAATGCATCTTGATAAAATACGTAAGTGGTAGGTCATGCTTTTACATAAACAAACACAAAATAAATCAATCGTTCTTGATGAAAAATAAAAGTTGTAGGTTATAATTTCATGCATACAACCACACACCAAGTCAATTGATGAGTTCTTAAACAATCTCGATTGGTGTCAATGGGTTCTCGATTAGTCTTAATCGATCCCGTTGAGTTCTCGAACCTGCCCCTATATATATATATATATATATATATAGTGATATCAAAATAAATAAAATAAGATATTGTTTTATGGTTTAATTTGTTTATTTAAAAAAATTAATTATATTAAATACGATTTAATTTTATTGTTTTGGTATTTTTCCTAATTTGGGTATGAAAACTTTGTTGAAGTTTATATAGCGATTTGTTCAATTTTAAGTTACAAAAGATGATAATATCAGTATGTATAAATTTTTCATTTGGTTAAAATCTAAATAGTTGATTTTGAGATGAAACTTGGAAACACTAATTTTAAGATGATAAAATTGGAGTTCATTTCTTAGTGATTTTCGATGATTTTGGTTTTAAAATATCGATAATAAGTTTGTTTATTGCAATGATAGAAAAAGAACAATAAAATTAGTCGTTTTAACATAATTATTTTTTAATTTAAACAAATTAAATCATATTACTTTATTCGCACCGAATAAAACAAGATATCATTATATGATTTGATTTTTTTGAGTTAAAACTTTAATTACATTAAAACAATAAAACCATCTTTTTTTTAACAGAACAGTAAAATTAAATCGTATTTAATATAATTAATGTTTTAAAAAATTTAACAAAGCAATTCATGCTGCAACCAATGTAACATCCTTTGATTTAATCTCAACCCCTGATCTCTCTCATTTTTAAGGAGTTTATTATCTAATTAATTTTTAATTAAAAGGGCAACCTTGTCTTTTATTTATTTATTTAAATAAAAACCAAACTCCCTTATTTTTAATGGGATGGTTTTTAATGTTTTTAATTAGGAAATGATTCGAATGTATGTCCAAATCAGTTAATTCTTTTAGATCGCAGTATTTTATGAATATATGCATATCATGCAAATGAGAATCTAACTCAAATATATGCATCTTATGTGATACGTGGGTATCATCTTATGAACACATGCATAGCATATGCATCAAAGAAGAAGAATATATTAAATCATAAAATCATATATGAACAATGAGTAGGTGCATATCATATTAACGAGAGTTTAAGTCGAATATATGCATCTTATGATACGTAGGTACCATCTTATGAACGTATGCATATCATACAAGCGAGAGTTTAAGTCGAACATATGCATCTTGTGTGATACGTAGGTATCATTTTATGAACAGATGCATATCATATGCATCTTATGATTTGAACAAGAAGAAGACATTAAATCGTAAAATCATATATGAACGATCTGCAGATGCACATATGCATACATGAACAATCAAAATATGCATATATGACAGTATGTATGTGAACAATCCCGAAGAAGAAGAAGAATACAGAATGTGTATATGCATCTTATGCATTGAAGAAGAAGAAGACAGGAAACCATAAAATCTTATGCATCAAAGAAGAAGAAGACAGGAAATCGTAAAATTGAAGAAGAAGAAGAAGAAGACGGAAAGTGTATTTCTTCGTTGAAATTTCTGAATGTTTTCCGCCTTTCTCTGTCGTGTATCACGATTTGTGATATGGTTTCACCGACGAGATCGACATCAATGGTTGTCTTTCTCTGTAACGATTTGTGATATGGTTTCACCATCGAGATCGGTATCAATCGACCGCCTTTCTCTGTAACGATTTGTGATATGGTTTCACCGTCAAATTATTCAACAAAAAACTTATAAGATGCAACAATAACTATGAATTTGACGATGTAGATATAAAAATGATTTAAGATAAATATGAAAATCAATTCCAAATTTAAAAACAATAATAAATTCAAATTATTAAAACCGTCAATGAAAACAGAAAATATTATTTCTTTAATTAAAAAATGAAAAAAAAAGACATAATTGCCA